GACAACACCACTTACCTATCCTACACCCCTTAAGCTCCATCGGGGCCTTACACTTGCCTTGCCTAAACTCTTCTCTAGTTGATGTTCACAGAGCTAAGGAACAGCAGGACCCAGGCCTCTTCCCAGAGGGAGTGGGCAGTGGGGCTATACTGCTAATTTCTGGCAAACAAGAAATAGTATTAAAAGTTGTTAAAAACAGAGTTTTTGTTTATAAGGTTCTTATATAGAAATAATTTTGTACAGTTGCTGGTTCTATAAGAAATAAAATCTATGGTGGATAATGATTGGCCTTAAGGCAAGTGAAGAGTGTTTCTTGACCAGTTGCCTACAGCTGATGAGCTCCAGTAAGAGCGAAACCACTTCTCACTCTGCTGAAACAGTTGTGAAGTGCGGATTGGTCCTGTAGTACTGTGTCAGAAACAGAAACAGCCCTGGTGGGAAAAGGCCTTGAATTAAGAGGGATTTTGTGACTTCTCTCAATTTAAATATAGTGTCTTCCCCTAATGAGTAAGAACTGCTAAAAAGTCAAATAACCTGTGCTTTTTCTTACCTCAGCAATAGAGATTGTAATTAGTAATTGTAGTCACTATGTCTATATATGAGTGTGAAATTGATTTATACAAGCACTTCTTAATTGAAGCAATCTTATATACAAATGTTTAGTTTTGCATCCTACCCCTTTAATATACTCTTAGGCTATTCCATCATTGGTAGCTTTAATGATATCTGCCCCTTGACTCCCACCCCCAAGAAAAAGTTTGTACCGCAGCCAGATTGGCCTACATCAGCATTGCCAGCTGGAGGCCCACAGGAGGACTCAGCTGACTGTTTTTTCCCCTGCTTAATTGTGGACAGTCAAGCACATGATGGCGGCCCCTCCCTGCATCTTTCTTGTGTAATTCCTTACTCTTGGTGATGGCTTTTTATATATAGACACACAAATCTTCTTTAATGCCTTTCCTTTTGCCCCCATCAGTATTCATTTGAACATTAAAAAACTGAGTTTGCAGACTAAGTGGTTATCAGATGCCAGTTTATATGGATACTTTTCCCAAAGATCATGGGCATATTACTGAGAAACAATATAGAAAGTACTTATCTTTTGACATTGAACTATGTTTGTGTTAGTCACGTAGTCATGTCCGACTCTTTGTGACCCCATGTATTGTAGCCTGCCAGGCTCCTCTGTCCATGGAATTCTCCAGGCAAGAATATTGGAGTGGGTTGCTACTTCCTTCTCCAGGGAATCTTCCTGACCTAGGGATTGAACCCAGGTCTCCTGCATTGCAGGCAGATTCTTGACTGTCTGAGCTACAGCCTTTTTTAATTTGCAGAAGAATGATATGTAAAACAGAATCTAAGCTGAGGTATTTATAGGAACAGATGTGTTTGTTCATTTATTACCTAGATGAATAGCCAGCAGAATGAGGCATTTTTGTTGTTCTGTGCTGTCTTGCACATAGCAAGTCTTCTTACAACCTGATTTCCACCCTCTAAATGCCTTCAGCACCCCCAGCTCATTATGTAAACTCAGTCCCACCCTCACTGAGAACCATTGAACAGCGTTTGCAAGAATGGCTGTAAATGTAGTAGAGAATGTATTTGTTGGATTTGTTTATCTATTTGCTATTACTGTTATTTTGCTTGAGATTTAAGAAGTTTGATTCAGTTCAGAGTGAGATTCCTCTTCCTTGCGAGTACAGAGATCATTTAAAAGGCTGTTGAGAAACGTCACAAGGAAGGCTATGACTGTGTACCTGATGAGTATAAATACAGTATGTTTTCATTTACATGAGAGGTTATTTTTTGTGCTTGCCACTAGGGTAAATTCGGAGGAGACATGACCTTAAAGTGTGTCCTTTAAGTATAATTAGGGTCTGGATAGGCTGAAGGGAGGGCCTGCTTTGGTAGCTCAGCAATAAAAAATCTTCTGCAATGCAGGAGAAGCGGCTCAATCCCTGGGTGGGAAAGATCCCCTGGAGAAGGAAGTAGCTACCAGCTCTAGAACCCTTGCTTGGGGAATCCCATGGACAAAGGAGCTTGGTGGGCTACAGTCCATGGGGTCACAAGAATTGGACACAACTTAGGGACTAAACTGCTGCCACTAGACTGAAGGGCAGACCCGTCTAGAAGAGAGCAAAGCCATGAAAATGTTAATGTGCACATTGTTTGGCGGAATCTAAAGTAGTCTGGGCAAGGGCTGGTAAGGTACTATAGTGAAGTACTAGGATTTTAAGATTGTGTTGAGAGATAAGATTGGAAAAATAGTACAGCTGTAACTCTGAGGTATAAACATGAAATGCTCACATTCCCTCCACTTCCCTCTGAGGTACAGTCCTTTAATAATGTCTTGGTTTGGTGTCAAAACTCTTCTGCCACTTTTGATGCCTAGAAAAAAACTTATTCCAGGAATTAAGACAGGTTTCACTTGCTTACAAAAGCAGGCAACAAAAACACGTTAATCATAAACTCTTTCTTCTCTATGAAGAAATGTTGAAACTGTTAGTTCCCAGCTGCTTGGATTAAAGAAGAGATGTAATTTGGCTCTAAAATTTGTCCCCCCTCCTTCCGCTTAACTAGCCCTTTTGGAGCTGGGGGAATACCAGCCAGTGGAGGCAGAGTTCGCACTATCTGAAACTTGGAAGAGGGAAGCAGTAGCTCTGCCTTTACTCTGATTCATCTGGTTGTGTTCGATGATGATCTCTCTGGAGGTGGTGTGTGTGGTATTTTTGGGGAGAAGGGGCAGTTTTGTAACTCCCTTGACCCTTGTGCCATTGAGGACTCACTTGGTAGGGCAGCTCCTGTTCCTCTGTGGCAGAGCCAGTGTGGTGTACACTTAACGCCTTCTCTGGGTGGGATGACACTTACCTGGTGCTGTCTCGGGTCATCGCCCTTATATCAGCCTCCTTGCTCCTTGACTTGGAGTTTCAGGAAGGAGAACTGGAGGGAGGATGGAGTGAGACTGAGAAGCCAACAACTCAAGTGTTCCAGATAGGAAGTTATCAGGCCTGGGTTGAGTTGCAGGTAGGGGACAGTGACAGAAGAAATGAGGGTGTAATTGCAGGAAACATGAAATCAGTAAAAGAATATGAGGCTAAAGGAAAGAGAGTTATGACTAAGAAAAATGGTAACAATGACAAATAAAAGATTAGGGGTTCTTAATCTTAGAAGCGGTTGTTGTGATTCTAGATTTAGCCATTTTTTGAAATGAGCCATTGGAAATGCCACTATTCATTTGAGATTATTATAGATATAGAGTGAAAACAAAGAGGTAATTTGTTATCTATAATTCAGGAGCACAGGAATGAAAACAAAGCGGGCATCAACTATGAGTTTGTGGTTTCAGTAATCATATTGGATGAATTCTAGGAGGGAAAATAAAGTTGTGGACTGAACCCTGGGGAATGTGAAAACTGGATAAGAAGATAACCATTGTTTGCGTAATGCTTTTCTGTTGACAAAGCATGGCACGCAGACAAGAGCCATAGAGTTATCAAATGAAAATTTCTTCTGGTCAATCTATGGTCAATCTATGCTGGAGAGTCACAATGCCTTCATAGACTCATTCTCTTTTAAATAGATTCTTTATCTTCTGTCCATTACATTTGGTCAGCTCTGAGTTTGACTTCAGTAAATATCACATAACATTGACTAGTTATGACTAGTTACGATGTTTGAAAGCACTTTTTAGATTGATTTCCAAATTAAGATTTCAAATTCAGCAGCCACACATGTATAAGTTGTATCTTAAAGTTAATTATTTTGAGGAAGGTAGTGGCTTCCTTCCAAATGAGGAAGCCACATAGTACTAATGTCCCTGTTTGAGAATTATTTTACTTTGTCCATGATTTGGAATACACCTTACTCATAAGGGTTTTATTAACTTACTGCATTTATTTATATTGCCTAAACCAAACCTTTATTGCTAGTGTGGACTTTGTCTTAGTTGTAACATACATGCAGCAAGATAATAATGATAATTTGGTTGTTTGGAAGTATGTTGTACAAGTAGGTAATTTATAGTATTAAGGCCAATGTCTAATTTCTTGATGCCAGGATATTTAACAGGCAATTTCATCTTCTTTTCCTTTCTTAGAATTTTTCATTAAGATTGTTGGGATGTTCTGTATTTTTCTGTCTCAGGATAAGTTGAAGTTGACTAATTTTCAGAAAATAGCTAGCTTAGTAACCCTCATAAACAGCTTAAAAACTAACTTAAGCTAACATTGTTGAATTAGGTTTGTAAATGTTTCTTTAATGAGCGAGGCAGTGCATATGGGGTCCATTTGAGTTGTGCTGAACATTGTGTTCTTGATGAGAATGTTTGGAAATCACTATGATACTTCTTGTATTCCAGGGTGAAACATGAATTCCTGTCAGGAATCCTTTACACCTTGACTTCTTTCAGCTCAGCTGTATGTGTCTGGGCTTGTAGGTAGCTGTGTTTTATTGTCTAGTTTTCCTTTTGCAGTAAATATCATTGTTAATGTACATTGTTTTATTGCCTTGATTTGTAATTTCTTGCCTAGTGTTTTCATTGCTGTCTGATTTCTGCAATAGTTTGTTATGAGTTCTTTACATAGTCTTTTCTCCCCCTTGTGGAGCTGAAGGAATTCTATTAATAATTCTTGGGCACTAATCTTCTCATTATTAGTATCATTCTGTACCCATCATCTTATGAGGTCAAACTGCAGCTGAAGTGAAGTGATAGGATCGAAGGAGAAGAGAGTGAACCTGTGTGCTACCTGACCTGTGGTGACTCATTTGGATCAGCTGTTTTATTCTTTTTTTTTTCCCCTCCAAGGAAAGAATTTTTAAAGAATTATTACTGGTAAAATGTGTAGCCTTACTTAGTTTTTCCACATCATGAAATGTCTGCAGCTATATATGGGGTCTTGGTTTTAAAAAACCTTTTTTAAAATGTGTGTTTTGACTTTCTTAGATGTAAAACAAAGATCAGGAACGGATTTGAAGCTCACAGTGAATTGGTGCCAGTCAGCATGTCAGAGACAGAGCACATAGCCTCCATTTCCTCTGATCAAAATATTGAGAAAACATCGGAAACAAAGGAAGACTCTTGCAACTCTTTTTCTGGTGATGAAAGCAGCAGCTTAGAAAATGAGTCCAAACTGTTGTCATTAAACTTTGATAAAGCTTTATGTCAGCCTAATGAACACAATAATCAAATTGAAACACAGGAAAATTATATTCCAGATCATGGTGGGGGTAAGGATTCCTGTGCTAAAACAGACACAGGCCCAGAAAATTCTGAACAAATAACTAGTTTTCCTGGTGGAGATTTTACAAAGCAAGTTTTGAAAACAAGTGAAGCAGAACAAGCAGTGACACAAATATTGGCGGAATTAAGGTCATCTACTTTTATAGAAGCAGGTAATCAAAAGACTTACTCAGAAAGTCCTTATGATACAGACTGCACCAAGAAACTTATTTCAAAAATAAAGACTGTTTCAACATCAGAGGATTTGTTGGAAGAAATAGAATCTGAGCTCTTATCTACTGAGTTTGCAAAAGAATACCGAGTACCAAATGGAATGAATAAGGGAGAAAATGCATTAATTATGTTTGAAAAGTGTGTGCAAGATAAGTATTTGCAGCAGGAGCACACCATAAAAAAGTAAGTTTTTTATTCTTCCAGGTTATTTTTTTACATGAGGATTAAAGATTAAATTCTTTCAAGTATCATTTTATTTACTTTTTTTCCACAGTAGAGCCATGCACATAAGTAAAGTTATTGAGCAAATGTCAAGTTTGCCTAGTTAATATGTAACTTTTTTTTGGGATGTGATATTTTCATTATTTTAGAAATAATAGGTAAATAGTGTTTTTATGAGTGTTATATATAATATACCTATGTTAAATATGTTAGCATATATAGAAATACATATATCTATAAAGGCACTGTTTTGAATATGATTCAAAATTTGTTTTACATAGAAGTCTTATTATGTTAAGTTAAATAGAATAAATATTTTATTAAAGTGTAAGTTCATTAAAGATCTAGAAATGTTTGTAAAGACAGCTCAAATTTTTCAGTTTTAAGAGAATGTAAAGCATTACATTGTCAGAACTAAGATAAATTCAAAAGGAATGAGAAGTCATGAAATTAAAAAATTTTTCTTAAAATCCCTGCTGTAAATTTATTGGTTTAAAAAATTAAAATTTAGAGAACAGAAGAATTGGTGTATTATCATTCAGTAAATAAGAATATAGTTAATTTTTGACTTCTCTTCAATTTGTGGAGTTAATTTCTATTTTAACAACAGTTTAAATTTCATTTTATCTTTTTCGGGTGTTATATCACCCCATGTTTTTATTTTATATTTGTATGTGTAAGTGGTGCATATATTTAGATACTCTTATAACCCTTATAAAGAACAATAAAACTTGCTAGCCTTCATTAATATCGACTGATTCTCTGTTTTAAAAAGTGATACTTTAAAAGTTTTTTGGAATGGGAGGGGCATGTGTAGAGAAAGGGGAGGAGACAATTGGTTTATCCAGTGAATTTTAATACCAGCATCCAGAGCCTTTTTTTCCTATTTTTTATTTTTAAATTGTGATAAAATACACATAGCATAACATTTGCCACCTTAACCATTTATCAATGTGCAGTTTGGTAGAATTAAGTATATTCACAGAGTATGCAACCAGCACCATAGCTTTTCATTTTACTGATTTGAAGCTCTGTATCCATCAAACAACTCCGTTTCCCCTGCCCTAGACCCTGGTAATCACCACTCTGTTGTGCTTTCTGTTTCTAAGAGTTTGACTGCTCTTGATACTTCACATAAATGAAATTGTACAGTATTTGCCTTTTTGTGACTGGCTTGTTTCACTTAGCGAATGTCCTCAAGGTTCATCCAAACTGTAGTATGTGATAGAGTTTATTTCCTTTTTAGGGTTGAATAATATTCCACTGTATGTATGTTGTTTATTGTTTATCTGTTCATCCATCAGTGGGCATTTGGGTTGCTTCTACCTTTTGACTGTCATGAATAATGCTTCTGTGAACATGAGTGTACAAATATCTGCTGAGACTCCAGATATCTCTTGATACTTTTTTAATACTGCCTGAAAACTAATGGCAGCTACTGCTGCTAATAACTTTACTGGAATGCTGCTGTTATGAAAAAAACTATGATTTTATGCTTGAACCATCAGTTTTTCTGCCATTCTTGCTTTTCTGGGTAACTTCCTTATTTCCTGCTATCTATACTTTAATCTTTTAAACTTTCCCTTTGAGATTATTCCTGATACTTCTTTATACTTTCCTTAGATTTTGAGTCTTGACCACTTTCATGTTTCTCTTGTAAATGATAAGATGTTATAGATTTGATAATAATAGCCAGAAGACTTCGTGTGCCTGGCACTTTCCATGTATTAATGCATGGAATCCTCACAAAACAACCCTATGCGGTATGAACAGTTATTATTCCCATCTTACAGATAAGGTACCTGAAGCACAGGGAAGTTAAGTAACTAACTTGCTCAGGGTCACAAGTTACTAAATAACAAAGTTAAAATCTGAACCCATTTAGTCTGGCTTAAGTGGATTTTTTTTTTAATGTGCTTATCAGAAATGAACAGGTTACATGTTATTAAATTTATCTAAAAACATTGGGAATACAGTAGAAAGTTAACTCCAAGTTATGTGCACTTGGCATATAAGAATAATAATTTCAGGGCTTGCTGTTCTTTACTTCTCTCTCCCTAAAATGTTTACTTTATGAACTATAGTCAGGATTCTCGTGTTTCTAGTTGTTTCCTGCAACAAATTGAGTGTTCATCTTTATCATATAATCTGAGTTAAATCACTGTGCCATAAAAGGCTTGAAAAAGCTTGTATGCTACACAGTTTTCTGTTCCCAAGCATTTTCACAGTGTACCTCCTCACTGCATTCCTGTACCATCAGAGAGGTCTGTCCTGATTACCTGAAGTATAGTTCAAGTCATTTTCCCTGTCCTCTTGCCCTTTTTTTAGTTTTCTTAATAGAACTTAATCACAACTTAACATTTCATTATATATCTATTTATTGTTCAATTTCTCTCTTAGAATGTGAGCATTATGAGTGCAGGGGCAGTTCACTGATGTACCCCCAACATATAGACTAGTATAGGTACATAGTAGGTACTCAGTCAGCGTTTGTTGAGTAACTGAGGGATCTTCAAAGTAGGAGATGGCAAGGAATTAGACCTGGGTCCAAGTCTAATCTTCACCCATTTACTAACTATGTGTGTTAGTTGCTCAGTCTTGTCTGACTCTTTGCGACCCTATGGACTGCAGCACGCCGGGCCTCCCTGTCCATCACCAGCTCCTGGAGCTTGCTCAGACTCATGTCCATCAACTTGATGATGCCATCCAACCATCTCATCCTCTTTTGCCCCCTTCTCCTCCTGCCCTCAGTCTTTCCTAGCATCAGGGTCTTTTCCGGTGAGTCGGCTCTTCACGTGGCCAAAGTATTGGAGCTTCAGCATCATTCCTTCTAATGAACATTCAGGGTTGATTTCCTTTAGGATTGATTGGTTTAATCTCCTTGCTCTCCAAGGGACTGTCAAGAGTCTTCTCTAGCAGCACAGTTTGAAAGCATCAATTTTTTGGTTCTCAGCCTTCTTTATGGCCCAACTCTCACAACCATACATGACTGACTACTGGAAAAACCATAGCTTTGAGTATATGGATCTTTGTCGGCAAAGTGATATCTCTGCTTTTTAATAGGCTGTCTAGGTTTGCATAGCTTTTCTTCCAAGGAGCAAGTGTCTTTTAAATTTCTTGGCCATAGTCACCATCTGCAGTGATTTTGAAGCCCAAGAAAAGTAGACTATATCATTACAAAAGAATTACTTGTAAATATTTGTTTAGTAATCATAAGTATCTCCACCTCAGTCTACAAAGAGATTATTTTCCACATTTTTAATTATGTTTTACTTATACTGGCCCTTTTATATTTAGGTTAATTAAAGAAAATAAGAAGCATCAGGAACTCATCTTAGACATTTGTTCAGAAAAAGACAATTTAAGAGAAGAACTTAAAAAAAGGACCGAAACAGAGAAGCAACATATGAACACAATTAAACAGGTAAAAAGACAAAAATCTTGGAAGTCTGTTCTTAAATACATTCCTGAAAATTTGTATACAAGTTGAAGTTTTATAGATTACATCATACTTTAAATGCAGAAAATTGCTTGGTATGTGAAGCATTCTCTTTTATGAAATGGGAATCCTAGCCTTATCTTTTTGTTTTATGTAAATTAATATTTTTATATGATATGTGTGGCAGTAGTCTATGTATAATAGATATCTGAGAAGGAAAGACAGTTTGTTTGGCAGTCAAATAGATTGTTTCAGAAGAAGCAATATATACCTAAACGTTTGTATCTGGCTTTAGAAGGTTTTACAGCTTATTAGTACATGCATGCTAAGTTGCTTCAGTCGTGTCCCACTCTATGTGACTCCATATAGTATAGCCCACCAGGCTCCTCTGTCCATGGGATTGTTGAGGCAAGAATACTGGAGTGGGTTGCCATTTCCTCCTCCAGGGGATCTTCCCGACACAGAGATCGAATCTTCGTCTCTTCTATCTCCTGCATTGGCAAGCAAATTCTTGACCACTAGTGCCACCTGGGAAGCCCTTTTAAGCTTATAGTTTAATGCAGTTCTGTTCTTAGTATTTTGTAAACTATACTGAAGGCTGACTCTCTTATTTCAGATTTTATCTGGTTACCTAGTTTCCCCAAGCCTTTCCTTTCCTTTCTTTTGTAAAAAGATACTATGATGCTTGGATCAGCAAGGTGCATATTCTAGACTGGTAGCTCAGCTGCTCTTTATCTTTTTGAGCTGCTTTTTTTTTTTATTTCCCTAGTAGCTCAGCTGGTAAAGAATCACCTGCAATGAAGGAGACCCCAGTTCAATTCCTGGGTTAGAAAGATCCGCTGGAGAAGGGATAGGCTACCTACTCCAGTATTCTTGGGCTTCCCTTGTTGCTCAGCTGGTAAAGAATCTGTCTGTATTGTGGGAGACCTGGGTTCAGTCCCTGAGTTGGGAAGATCCTCTGGAGAAGGGAAAGGCTACAACTCCAGTACTCTGGCCAGGAGAATTCCATTGACTATAGTCCATGGGGATTGCAAAGAGTCAGACATGACTGAGCGACTTTCACTTTCATTTTTCTTCCGTGGAAAAGGTTAGAAACATGGTAGCCTTAAAAGTCTTTGTTTTTGCCTCATCTTTCACAGAAAGCTGTATAATGAAAGTAAAAGTAAACAGCTGATAATACTGTAATGAAACATTAAACCAAGTTTCACTTACTTACACTTTGTTATACTTAATGAAATTATACTTTATCAGGAAAATTTAATCCTGATTTGTGTGTGTGTGTGGTCTACCACATGCAGACCAAACTTAGAATTTTAAAGTGAAGGTGCCTTAATTTTAAAGTGTGGGGCTGAATATGAATTTTGGTAGACAGATCACTGCTGATGACCAGAAACTTCAGAATAAACAGATGGAAGCTAACCAGAGCTGTTCTTTTCTTGAAATTGTTAGTGGTTGTGCCCTATTAAAGGAGAAAATTCGATTCACCTTTCTTTTGCTAGCCAGTATAGCAGAGTTTTCTTTCCTAATTTTATCTTTGAATCTGTATCACTTAATATGGCTCTCACTGGCCATCGTGATTATTGGGTAAGTAAAAGGTGGCTAGTCCAAATTAAGAGGTAATGTAAGTGTGAAATATTCCCTTTTAAAGGCTTAGTACAATAAGGGGTAAAATGGCTCAGTTTTTTAATGTTGACTACATGTTGAAATGATATTCTGTATACATTTGGTTTAATAAAACATTTACCTGTTTCTTTTTACTTTTTAAAATGTTGCTACCAAAAAATTGGGCTTGTATTGCTGTTGGACAGTGTTGTCATACGGAAAATTAGTACATGTGTACTATATGTAAGCTAACTAGTAGGGTTTTTATAGCAGTTTCATTGATATATAATTCACATACCACATAATTCACTCATTTTAGTATACAGTTTGGTGATTTTTAGTTGTACATTTTGTCACAATTTTAGAAAATTTTATCACATGAAAAAACTACAAGCCCATTAATAGTCACCCCTCATTTCCCTCCAGCCCCTGTCAGCTGTCTTCCCTCAGCCCTAGGGGACAACTAGTCTACTTTCTGTCTCTCTATGTATTTACCAGTTCTGAATATTTCATATAAGTGGAATCATATATGTTTCCTCTTCCTTCATAAAAGTAGAATCATGTAATATCTAGCTTCTAAGTGTAATTTTTTCAAGATTTCTATCAAGATGTAGCTTTTACAGTATTTAAGATTAGGGTTATGGGTTAGGTTTATAGATTTATGTCTACCATTTTTGAGTATTTTATGTCTACAGTTTCTTTATGTCTTTTCTGCTGTGTTCCTGTTTTGTTTCCCTATTCCTCACTTACTGCCTTATATTGCATTAAGTAAATATGTAACATTTAAATTTTTTTCATGATATTTTAACTATTTTTTGAGTTATTTCATTGATAATTACTTTAGAGCTTACCATCTGTCTTCTCAGAGTCTGCTTCAGATTTATACTGACTTAATTCTAATGATATATTGGAACATCATTAATGTTTACTTTTTATGTCTGTGGCTGAAGTATATTCTTGAATTCTTTATGCTCATATATGTATAGTTTATATTTATTTGAAATGTTAGTGGTCTGTTTGTTATAGCTATAAAAATAATCTGGACATAATTTTCTTTACAGTTAGAAACAAGAATTGAAGAACTTAATAAAGAAGTTCAGGCTTCCAAAGATAAAGTATTAGCTCAAGACATTGCAGCCAAAAATGCAATTCAGCAATTACACAAAGAGATGGCCCATCGGATGGAACAGGTATTTTTCAGATCATCATTATTATTAACTTTCTGTTGAATTTTTGTTTATTTAACCCTGTTAGATAATTTTAGACATTAGTGTGTATTAGGAATAGGATTTTTAAAATGCTAAAGCATTACATAAATGTATGTTAACTACAAAAAACTTCAACTTTTATTTCTGTGATTCTTTACAATATTCTGACCCTGAGCAGTAGGAATGTTACATGCTTAACACTTATACTATCAGTTCTCAAACTTTTCTACTAATTAAAGAGAAATATAGAGGATAAGACATTAAGAAGAAGATAGCTTTAGTGAACCCAAACATAGTTTCATTAAAATAACAATTAGAATTATGGTTATATTTTAAAATAAAAACAGAACGATAATAAACGGTACACAATAACAATTCAAACTGTAAAACGTGTCTTCTTCCAAACCTTTTCTTTGTATGAGGACGAAGAAACTTCTTAATATGGTCCCCGATGGTCATTTTCCCAGAGCACAGGTCAGGCTAGGAAAGAGTGGAAAAGTGATCTGAAGGCATAAACAGAATATAGCATCTGTATTAGCTAAAGGAAAAGAAATAGGAAAGGGAAGAAGCAAATGTTAGTGATATGAATTTGTTCATTGTATCACTTCTTTTTTATGATTTCATGACACAGGTCCCCAAAATGTGCAAAAATAAAAAAATAAATTGGTGATATTTTAGGAAAATATTATTTATTTTAGTTTATTTTTACTTTAAAAAACATGTTTTATTAACGCTAGATAGTTTTTTCAAAGGCCAACAAGAAATGTGAAGAGGCACGCCAGGAAAAAGAAGCAATGGTAATGAAGTATGTAAGAGGTGAGAAGGAATCTTTAGACCTTCGAAAGGAAAAAGAGATACTTGAAAAAAAACTTAGAGATGCAAATAAAGAATGTGAGAAAAACACTAACAAAATTAAGCAACTTTCTCAGGAGAAAGGACGATTACACCAGCTGTATGAAACAAAGGTATCACTTTTGATATTGTACCTTACCTGAAGCTTATTCTCTTTGCTTTTCCTTATTTAATTAAATAATCATAAATTAACTTGGTTCAACCACTGTTAAACATAAAGCTGTTTTTGTTAGTTTACCTTCAAAGAGGGTGAATGCTTTAATAATTCCAATATGTTGTTAGCTAGCTGCAAAACATTTTTCCTGTGAAAATATGAGAAACTGACACATGTTTATTAGATCTTTTTTAAAACTTTCTTTTAAAATCTACATGTTGTAGAAATGACTTTGTGCTTCAAAGGAAGATTTTACTTTCGTAAAAGATACACATGAAAGTGAAAGTCACTCAGTCATGTCCGACTCTTTGCAACCCCATGGACTATACAGTCCATGGAATTCTCTAGGCCAGAATACTAGAGTAGGTAGCTGTTCCCTTCTCCAGGGGATCTTCCCAACCCAGGGATCGACCCCAGGTCTCCCTCGTTGCAGGCGGATTCTTTACCAGCTGAGCCACCAGGGAAGGCCAAGAATACTGGAGTGGGGAGCCTGTCCCTTCTCCAGGGGGTCTTCCCGACCCAGGAATCAGACTGGGGTCTCCTGCATTGCAGGCAGATTTCTTTAACAACTGAGCTACCAGGGAAGCCTAGTTTTTGAGCTAGAGGTATAATTTGACCAGAATTTTAATGTAATGCTCATAGAATAGAATTTATACTTTTCTTGCAGAAAAACATGTTTTTAGATGCTATTTAAAGAGATTTAATTACTGAGCTATTCAGAGCCCTTGATTTTAACTAACAGCCTCATGGCATAGTTTTATGTCCAGCAGGTTATCATTTCTTGATAATCAGTGTTATTTTCTACTAAGTTTTAGTTCAGAAATGTTGTCATTGTTCTCAGGAATTCTGGCAAAACCAATTTAATTTATATTTCACCTTATGTCAGCCATTTGGGAAGCACCAAAGGTATGCTTATACTCATAAAACATAATAGTTGGTTAAAGTATAAATGTTAATGTTCATTGGTTTTAGGATTTTACTTTCCTCTTGTGATTTAAACTTTAAATCAGTTTTATTGCTTGTAAGCCATAACGTGCTAACCCCTGGATTGCATTGATTATCTTGAGATATGAAAGACACACAAATGATTGTTGATTGTTTAAGTGAAAAATATGACCCAGTGATATTATTTTAGGAAGGTGAAGCTACTAGACTCATCAGAGAAATAGACAAATTAAAGGAAGATATCAACTCTCACATCATTAAAGTAAAATGGGCACAAAACAAATTAAAAGCAGAAATGGATTCACATAAGGTAAGTACCATCACACAGTGGGAAAACTATTAGAATCAGTTTAAAGAACAAACAGAGTAATAGTTATTAATCAGGCATAGAGCTTATTTTAGGGACTCCTGTAGGATAGCTTGAGCCAAAATATTTGGTGATTCAGTTCAGTTCAGTCGCTCAGTTGTGTCCAACTCTTTGTGACCCCATGAATCGCAGCATGCCAGGCCTCCCTGTCCATCACCAACTACCCGGAGCCTACCTAAACTCATGTCCATTGAGTTGGTGATGCCATCCAACCATCTCATCCTCTGCCGTCATCCCCTGCTCCTTCTGCCCTCAATCTTTCCTAGCATCAGGGTCTTTTCAAATGAGTCAGCTCTTCGCATCAGGTGGCCAAAGTATTGGAGTTTCAGCTTCAACATCAGTTCTTCCAGTGAACACCCAGGACTGATCTCCTTTAGGATGGACTGGTTGGATCTCCTTGCAGCCCAAGGGACTCTCAAGAGTCTTCTCCAACGCCGCAGTTCTAAAGCATCAATTCTTCAGCACTCAGCTTTCCTTATAGTCCAACTTTCGCATCCATACATGACCACTGGAAAAACCATAGCCTTGACTAGACGGACCTTTGATGACAAAGTAATGTCTCTCCTTTTTAATATGCTGTCTAGGTTGGTCATAACTTTCCTTCCAAGGAGTAAGCATCTTTTAATTTCATGGCTGCAATCACCATCTGCAGTGATTTTGGAGCCCCCCAAAATAAAAGTCTCTGACTGTTTCCCCATCTATTTGCCATCAAGTGATGGGACCGGATGCCATGATCTTAGTTTTCTGAATGTTAAGCTTTAAGCCAACTTTTTCACTCTCCTCTTTCACTTTCATCAAGAGGCTTTTTAGTTCCTCTTCACTTTCTTCCATAAGGGTGGTGTCATCTGCATATCTGAGGTTACTGATATTTCTCCCAGCCATCTTGATTCCAGCTTGTGCTTCTTCCAGCTCAGCGTTTCTCATGATGTACTCTGCATGTAAGTTAAATAAGCAGGGTGACAGTATACAGCCTTGACGTACTCCTTTTCCTATTTGGAACCAGTCTGTTGTTCCATGTCCAGTTCTAACTGTTGATTCCTGACCTGCATACAGGTTTCTAAAGAGACAGGTCAGGTGGTCTGGTATTCCCATCTCTTTCAGAATTTTCCACAGTTTATTGTGATCTACACAGTCAAAGGCTTTAGCAGAGTCAATAAAGCAGAAAGAGATGGTTTTCTGGAACTCCTGCTTTTTCGATGATCCAGTGGATGTTGGCAGTTTGATCTCTGGTTCCTCTGCCTCTTCTAATTCCAGCTTGAACATCTAGAAGTTCACGGTTCACATATTGCTGAAGCCTGGCTTGAAGAATTTTGAGCATTACTTTACTAGCGTGTGAGATGAGTGCAATGGTACAGTAGTTTGAGCATTCTTTGGCATTGCCTTTCTTAGGGATTGGAATTAAAACTGACCTTTTCCAGTCCTGTGGTCATTGCTGAGCTTTCCAAATTTGCTGGCATATTGAGTGCAGCACTTTCATAGCATCATCTCTCAGGATTTGAAATAGCTCAACTGGAATTCCATCACCTCCACTAGCTTCATTCATAATGATGGTTCCTAAGGCTCACTTGACTTCACACTCTAGGATGTCTGGCTCTAGATGAGTGATCATACCATCATGGTTATCTGGGTCATTAAGATCTTTTTTATAGAGCTTCTCCATCTTTGGTTGCAAAGAATATAATCAATTTGTTTTCAATATTGACCATCTGGTTGGTGTCCACGTGTAGAGTCTTCTTTTGTGTTATTGGCAGAGGGTGTTTGTTATGACCAGTGCGTTCTCTTGGCAAAACTCTTATTAGCCTTTGCCCTGCTTCATTCTGTACTCCAAGGCCAAATTTACCTGTTACTCCAGGTATGTCTTGACTTCCTACTTCTGCATTCCAGTCCACTATTAAGAAAAGGACATCTTTTTTGGGTGTTGGTTCTAGAAGATCTTGTAGGTCTTCATAGAACTGTTCAACTTCAACTTTTCAGCATTACTGGTCGGGGCATAGACTTGGATTACTGTGATGTTGAATTGTTTGCCTTGGAAAGAAATCATTGTGTAGTTTTTGAGATTGCATCCAAGTACTGCATTTTGGACTCTCTTGTTGACTGTGAGGGCTACTCCATTTCTTCTAAGGGATTCTTGCCCACAGTAGTAAATACAATGGTCATCTGAGTTAAATTCACCCATTCCAGTCCATTTTAGTTCTCTGATTCCTAAAATGTCGATATTCACTCTTGCCATCTCCTGTTTGACCACTTCCAATTTACCTTGATTCATGGACCTAACATATCAGGTTCCTATGCAGTATTGCTCTTTTTAGCATCAGACTTTACTTCTATCTCCAATCACATCCACAACTGGGTGGTGTTTATGCTTTGGCTCCATCCCTTCATTCTTTCTGGAGTTATTTCTCTACTGATCTCCAGTAACATATTGGGTACCTACCAACCTGGGGAGTTCATCTTTCAGTGTCCTATCTTTTTGCCTTTTCATACTGTTCATGGGGTTCTCACGGCAAGAATACTGAAATGGTTTGCCATTCCCTTCTCCCGTGGACCACGTTTTGTCAGGACTTTCCACCATGACCCGTCCATCTTGGGTGTCTGTGTTGACAGTGGTCAAAGGTTAGAGAATGGTGGGGTTCTAAGCTAATTGCTGATCAGCAGATGAGTGTTAGGAAACTGTTGATATATGGGCAGTGGAAGAACTGCCAGAAGGAGTAGGAGCAGGAATCCTTAGGGTTCACACCGGGCTACAAACTGTTTAAAATTGTATTTGACACATTGGAATGTCTCGGTTGCTATGTTCTGAATGAATGGAGTGAGTACCTCAATGTGTCAAGCTCTGGTAGTTATTGATGATATAGGAAGTGTGTGTGGGGGGGTACAGATAAAATTCCTTTATCTCTCCATCCTCTTGTTGAGCTAATATTCTCATATTTTAAAAAACAGTATTTGAAAAAACCTTCAAATGTTCATATTTTAAAAGTCACCATTTTAATATAAGCCAAATTATTATTAAAAGACCTGCAACTGAAAGTATGTAACTAGACACTTAATTGGATAGTAAATTTATCCGAAAACAAAGTGACATATAAGAAGTGGTATCTGAAGTGCAGATGGAATTTATATCAAGAGATGAAGAGAAAGGCATTCCAAGTGGAGGAACAACAAGATAAGGAGAAAAGGGAGATTTGGTGTTTGGGAAAACCAGCCTAACTAGAACAGAAGATTCATGTTAGGTATTCCTTCATTAATTCAACATTTATTGCATGAACAGTTCATATGTGAATACTGAGCTTGGTGTTACCCAGAAGCTGTCTTCTCAATAGGGAAGCATGTAATAAGCTACAGTACAAAGTACCATTTGTTACAGTGTTGGGGTTCCCTGGATTCTATCTATAGGAAGGCAGAATAGCAGCTTCTATCTTTTTCTGAAGGGAACCTACTAGGAGAAGATGATACCTAAATTTTCATTTGAAATCCATGTGATAGCACAAATTATGGCACTGTACGGGTGCTCTGAAGGAGAATGTTGAAGCTGAAGGGTAGAGCTGTACTTGGACAATCACCATAGGAAGTCTAGTGAGTTAAGAAGACAGAGAAGGCAAGAAATGGGGAAAAAAAGAGAAATAGACTGTCTCATAGACAGAGGAAGGCTATTAAAAGAAAGAGGAGTGATCAGAACTGGAATAGGTAAGTCAGGAATAAGAAATTAGAAAAAGCAGTTGGGTCTGATGAGAAAGTCTTCCATGGAAACCATCAGAATGGCTATTCTAATAGAGTGGTTAGGAAGAGAAACCAAATTGCAGCATGAATCTGTAAAAAAAAGTTTTGGATACCTTGGCTATAAAACAAAGAATCGTCTTTCATGTGGGTCTCAAAGAACTGCTTAAACATTTTGCATTTTTGTTTTTTCAGGTTAGTAACTTGTAATGATTTGCTGAAAACTATCAAATTTAACTTTATTTAATGACTTGATCACTCACCTGTGCAGGCCACATTAGTTTTTTGTCAGATGCACAAAGTGTCATTACTGGAATAGTTTCTGACTCCAGTGGCAGTGCTAAGACAAGAACTTTCTCTACTCTGGTCAGTGTTCTCACCATTCATCACATCACTGTGCCAGCCTTGTTGCTGTCTGTAACTTAAAAAAAAAAGTTTTCCTCCAGCATAGGGAAAAGTCCAGTGCTCCCCTCCTGTGGGTTTCTTCTTGTGCGTCCCCTTTACTTTTACACAAAACCCTTCACTGCTGACTCATCTGGTTGCCAGTGTGTGGAAGCTTCTCCCCACAACAAGCAGTTGTGTGTGACACCAGCCGAGTGGCCTACAGTTGAACTCACTTTGACACTGTCCATCCAGAGAGAGTGTCAGTCCCACAAAACCTCCCAACTTGCCACTTCAGATGCCAGGCCCGGGCCCAGGCTATGAGGGGTTTCAGGAGCTCTGTCAGGAATTGGGGGCAGAGACCAATATATATTTTCTATTATCTTACACTGTCTTTTTGTCAATGCAGGAAACCAAAGATAAACTCAAAGAAACAACAACAAAATTAACTCAAGCAAAGGAAGAAGCAGATCAGATTAGGAAAAATTGTCAAGATATGATAAAAACGTATCAGGTATGCTAAAGTTTTGAATAGATTTCTTTATAACAAGTTATAACAAGTTTTACCAAATATTAATACTCTTTTGTTTCATAAATTTTTGTATCTCTGGTATTTGAAGTGTGGAGTAGATTTTCTAGGGCAACTAAATTAAATGCAAGCTATTTCCTATGTTAAAATACTTGCAGCTTAAATAGAAATCTTATTAGAAAAGTTTTTAGATGAATAAAAACACTATAAAACTTTAGAAGAAAGATGAGTACAAGGAAATGTATAACTTAGAAAAAAAAAAGCCCACTCAGTGTAATATGCATATTAAATACGCTCTTCTGTTGGTGCAAACTTGATATATTTAAAATTTTTGAATGCAGTCATCAATTTTAGATGCATGAGCTATAAACTGAATTGCAAAAGCCATCTTCATGTTTCAAAGCATAAAACTTTAAAACTTGCCATACTTTTGTCTTTTCTTTTCCCTTAGGAGTCAGAAGAAATTAAATCAAATGAGCTTGATGCCAAGCTTAGAGTCACAAAAGGAGAACTTGAAAAACAAATGCAAGAAAAATCTGACCAGCTAGAAGTGAGTAGCTCTGTATTTGTGTACCTTAGATGGTGTAATATTGAAGGAGAGAAACAAGTGCTTATTGCCATCTACTTTTAAGGTCTTTTAGAAGGAGCAGGCAATAAATGTTAGATCTGGGTTAGCATATAATGATTTGTGGTTTCTTTTAAACTTTTAAAAAGATGCATCATGCCAAAATAAAGGAACTAGAAGATCTGAAGAGGACATTTAAGGAGGGCATGGATGAGCTAAGGACACTGAGAACAAAGGTAATTCAGTCTTTAGTCGTGACTCTAGAGGACGGGTAAACAACTTTAATTTAGTTCTCATTCTGATTTTTAAATGTTGGGGAAAGGATATTTATATAGAAATAATCTAAAATCAAAAAGTAGTGTGTCAATTCCCTAGCAACAAAATTGACTCTTAAGAGAAATAAAAATGTCTTCCATTTCAGTCCCTTTAAAGTGTTTGCCAGACATTCCTGTTTCACAGCACATTTGCTCTATCTGTAACCTATCCTTGAACCTCTGATCTAAAGGCAGTCTTACTAGCAAATTAATTGGGAAGATACATGGGCTTTAGAACTGTGTCAGAAAATAATAGAAAGACTGTACATTTCCCTTGAATATATTTAATAGTCTTGTATACAGGTTTAATTTTTAACAGTCTCCTTTATCTTTTCCAGTGTTTAGGATCCATATATTACAAGAATAATATTCCTTTTAATATAAGTGTCAAATATGTTATCATTGTGTGTCTTTCATTTACTTAGAAATAGGCTTTTAGGTAACCATCTTGAATTTATGATCACTTAATTTTTAAAGTGTCTTTCATGTGCCCTTCTATTTTTTCTTTATGCCAGTACTTTGAGGTAGGTAGGGAAGGTATATCCTCTTCAGATGAGAAAATGGAGGTACAACAGAAATGAAGTGGCATGCTAAAACTGCCATGACTAAATCATGAGAAATCTGAGACTGAAACACAAGAGTGTTAACTTCTTGCTGTGTTTTCTTCATGTTAATACTGCTTCACAATTCAGCTTAGATTATTAACACATAACCACTATCTGAAATGGCTAATAAGGAATAAGAAAATACCATTTTGTAGTTTAACTTGCATATGATTATTTGATAGGTAAAATGTCTAGAAGATGAACGATTGAGGACAGAAGATGAATTATCAAAATATAAAGAGATTATTAATCGCCAAAAAGCTGAAATTCAGAATTTGTTGGACAAAGTGAAAGTTGCAGATCAGATACAGGAGCAGCATCAAAGGTATAAAATGAGCAACTTCTGTTTGTGCTAATCAACAGGCTTTTTGATTCTAAGTTGCTGTTTTTAAATGCAGTCATTGCATTAAATAAGAATAATCTTATATTTTACTAGGAAAAAAAAAATTTTAATTCCTATCTTCATTTGAACAGTTTTGGGTTATTTTTGAGGTTCCCAACACTGCTTCTAAAAATCAAAGTTTATATTCATATGTAAACATTGGCAGTAGTTATTTATAAGACAGAATGGGTTGTGGGTTTTTTTGATCCATTCCTTAGCTTTCAAATTCTGTTACTTAAACATAGTAGTTTTTCTTCTAAAAGGTAGATTTGTATCTCTGTCTATATCTTTGCATGTGTGTAGCTTGCAATCAGGATAGAACATTATTCCTTGGCTTCTTATAACACCAGTTAGCTGAGTTCTACTTAGGACTTTACCTGACAAAGCCTAGATTCAGACTGGATCCAAATATCTTCTTTTTTATACCCTACCAACACCCAGGCTGCTGAGTGCTGCTAAAGAGATCTTTACTATCATCCAGATTGATGCTGCTGTAAATTCATGGTTAGCAACCTCAGCTGGGACTGCTACTGCACCCCGAGTCCTACCATATGTCCTTAGAATCTTCTACCCCATCTTCTTAGCATGTATCCAAACCATACAGCTTTCACAGTGATCTTTCCTCTCTCCTCGTGCTTTACTCTTGGCAGAAAAAAGGGGGCCATCAGGTGATAGTTCTCTCTACCTCTTGCTGTCAGTTCTGTGAACTTGCCTGCATCTGCACTCATTTTTCTTTTGCTTCTGTTTTTGTGAAGGAAATGTTCCTATTTCTGAATCAAATTGTGGTCTCTACTTCTCCTGTGGATCCCATGCTCTTCTGCCTTCTCAGGGTCTTTCTTGATTATTCCTTCTTTTTCCTTTATCTCTTACCTCCTCCTTTTTACTGACTCCCTCTTTTCTTCTGTCTACGTTTAAATGTTACTACATCTTAAAAACTTCAAAAATCCTATGATCGCCCCTTTCCTTTTATTCACAACCACGTCTTTATAGAACCATCTGCAGCCCTCCTCCATTTCTTTGCCCCCTTTGCTCTTCTGTTTCTCTCCATTTTATTCAAACTTCCCCAACATACCATCGCAAACTGCTAATGCATCCTTAAATATAGTAGATGCTTCCCAGATTAAGCCATGCTTGAGTTTTCAGTATGGACACGCTAAACCCCTTACTTCTTGAAGTGCTCCATTCCTTTGACTTCATTTCATTGTGCTGTCCTGGCGCTCCTCCCCAGCTTTCTGCCCAGTCTTTTTTTGTGTCCTTGGCAGCCTTCTCTTTCTGTCATAAAGCTATCTTTTATTCTTATTTTATTATACGCCTGCATGATCCTCACTCTTTCTGTAATGTGTTGCAGGACCTTCAAGTTATTATCTTTAACCCTTTTTGCTGAGCTCCAGACATGCAAGTATCAAAGACACCTCAAACCTTTTAACATGTCCAAAACTGGTTCATCTGTCTTGCCTGCAAATACGTTTCTCTGATGTTGCTGAGACAAGTGATGCGTGTGACATCCAAGCGATTTTCCAATCCAGGAACCTGGGGATTACCCTTGGCTCTTCTATCCTTTGCTTCACTTGTCACCAGTCACAAAATAGTTTTGATGCTAACTCATCAATATCTTTCAAGTCCATCCCCATTGCTACTACCATCATCTAAGCCATTATCCGCTCTCATCTAGAAAGCTGCCACGTCTTCTAAACTGTTTTTTGTTGTTGTTGTTTGCCTACTTCCCTTTTAGTCAGTTTACTACAGTGTAGTTAACATAATCTTTTTTAGAAAGGAAGTCTCAGACCTTTCAGTGATTTCCCATCGCCTCAAGGATTGCCTAGTGAGTTCAGATGCCTTCACATGGCTTGGATGATCGTTAGTAACATTGCTGCTCCTTCTGTGCATTCTCCTTTTTCATCCCATATTTCAGCAGTAGTTGGTTAACAGACGTTGATTAATTGTCTCCTAGGTGTGGAGCCCTGTGTACGTGCTACGATATAGTACAGTCTTGATCCTCATCAGTATTGAGTATCCGTCTGTTAGTATCAACAAGATGTCATTCTCTCGTTCCCTTCCCAGCTTTGCACATACTGTTTCCTCTGCCTGGAATGTGTTGTCTTCTCCCGCTCACTCCTACTTCTGCTCTTACCCAGGAATTTGCACTCTGTGGCCCACAAGGCAATTCCAGCTCACTGCCTTTTTTTGTAGAGAAACTTTTTTTTGGGTACACAGTCACTCTCATTCCTTTATGTATTGTGTGGCTGCTTTCACACTACAGTGTCTTAGTTAAAACAGTTGCAACAAAGGCCATGTGCCCCAGAAACCTATATTGTTTACTGTCTGGGTCTTTTTAGGAAGAGTTTGCTAACCCTTTAAGTATTATTTTAATCACTTACACTGTGTGCTTTCATCATCAAAAATGTTTTTTTCACAGTGCTTGATTAAAAGCTCTTCAAAAGCAGGAGTTAGATCAGTCTTGCTTATAGCTCTTAGTGAGCTCTTAGTTCCTAGCTTATGTTAGGCATTCGTAGTGATCCAAATAAGTATTTGGATGAAAGAATAAAAGTACCTTTATAAAGCATTTCAGTCAATGAAAATTCTCAAACCCTTAATGTCCTTTAATAGTTAATTTTTTTTCTTAAATATAAACTTTGTTTTTTAGAGGTAAACAAGAAATTGAAAATTTGAAGGAAGAAGTGGAAAGTCTTAATTCTTTGATTAATGACCTACAAAAAGACATCGAAGGCAGTAGGAAAAGAGAATCTGAGCTACTACTGTTTACAGAAAAGCTCACTAGTAAGAATGCACAGCTTCAATCTGAATCCAATTCTTTGCAATCACAGTTTGATAAACTTTCCTGTAGTGAAAGTCAGTTACAAAGCCAATGTGAACACATGAAACAGACAAATATGAATTTGGTAAGTATTAATGTACATTTAACTTTTAAGGCAACACAGCAAGAAGCACAAATTAAGTTTCCCTAAAGATGTAAACCTAATGGTAGATGATTAAGCTCTTTTTGGTGGGACGAGCACGGACTTTCTGATAATTTCAAATGCTATGAGAAATGTCAGTTTTGCCTTTCAACTTACGTACTTTTTAATAAAATTTCTCCCTAACATTGTTATGAAGAAATATTTCACTTTTGAAAGTAAGGAAGCCAGGATTTTTGTCATTCCTAACTGGAATTACCATGTATTTCTTAAAAGGACTTTAAATTTCTGTATTTTTATAGCTTAAAAGTGGTTTAATATTTCCAAGTTGTGAGGTGGACTTAAGACTTTAGTCCAAAACTACAGAGACCTGTATCACATGTTGTTTTGCTTGTGTGGGGTGGCAGATGCATTAATATATCACTCCTCCCCTTCTCCCCCAACCCCACTTTATTGCATAAGAAATTTGAGGAACACAATAAACAACCTGGTAAGGAGTGATGATAGAAGAATTTACTACCAAAGACCTTGTATTTTTAAGGTTTTAAACTCTGAGCAATAATTAAAACATATCAAAATCGCTATTTTTATCTTATTTTAATATTTAGGAAAGTAGATTGTTAAAAGAAGAAGAACTGCGAAAAGAGGAAGTCCAGGCTTTGCAAGCTGAACTCACTTGTAGACAAACTGAAGTTAAAGCATTGAGTACCCAGGTTGAAGAATTAAAAGATGAATTAGTGACTCAAAGACGTAAACATGCCTCTAGTGTCAAGGATCTTACCAAACAACTTCAGCAAGGTATAAAATTCTTCTGCACTTAGATCTTGAATGTTCTTGTTTGTTTTTGTTGAAGGATTTATAGAAAAAATATATTTTACATTAGTTTTTCCCACACTGGGTAGAGCTGTAGGTTCTTTTTAATGTTCATAAACCAGATGACTGACCTTGTTATTTCATAAATAGTTTAAAGCATGTTCTATTCTAAAATACATTTATTCACAGAATCACAGAACATAAGAATTGGGAAAGTGCCTTTCTAGGACAGCAATGTCTAGACTTTGTTAATCACATATTACTGTCAATGAAAAGTGTTTAAGTATTTGTTCTCCAATTTGTAAATTGTAAGCATGTATTATTCTATTTTATGCACATTAGAAAAACATGAAAAATATAAATTTAAGAAGATCAGATTAAATATAAGTAGAGTGCTAGTATTTTCTACCTACACTTGTCTATGAATTGTTATGTATAGCATCTAGGGTACCTGAATCCACCTTGATGACCTCTAACTTAGAGATTGTTGAATCCTAACCTTAATTTTAGGGGAAACTGAGATTCAGAAGAGCTATAAATTTCCCAAACACAACAATTGACAGCTAGAACTAGAACTCAGATTTTTGTCATTTAAAAATTTATACAGTTATTGGAGTCTGCTGTGTGATTGGATACGCAGATGAATAAGAGATATTCTGACATCCTATTCTCTACTACTCCCCACTGTTTTATTTGTATTAAAATAGGGTGACATACAGTAATATAATAAAAGAGACTTAGCATTTACTTAATAGAAAAATATTCAGATACTTGCCAGAAGAATTTAGGTTTCATAGATGTAATTGAAGGGAAATTTGGGGTGATTTTCTGGTACTGTGGAACTCTTTTAAATCTTTTAGGACTCCAGAAGTTAGGTTCTGTGTGCCTAAATGATGTCAGCATCAGTTATCATAATGTTATTTCCATGTATTTCGTATTTGACCTGTGCGTTTCTAGATGTCATTTTGTGTCAGTGAACCTACAGACCTCCTGTTGTATGTATTCAAGAAATTTCTTTTGTTGCCTATGCCATTTTGGCCTAAGTGATTTTAGCAGTTAAAGTCAGAGATAGTGGGGGCAGATGGTTATGATCGTTGTCACAAGTAATCCATTTCTTTTCCTGCAGCACGAAGAAAGTTAGATCAGGTTGAGAATGGAAGCTGTGATAAAGAAGTCAGCAGCATGGGAAGTCGTTCTAGTTCATCAGGTAAAAAACTAATGCTTTTATAGTTTTTCAGTGATTGATTATAAAAAGAAATAGCATTTTTTGTTTTATAAGGTATCGATATGTTTTTCTGTAATTTTGAATTATAAAAAGCAGAGGTTATACACAATTACATTGTAAAAAATATTTCCAGTTAAAACGTTTAAGTTCTAATCATTAGGATTTTAAGTTTGTCATGGGGTCTATACCATCTGTCTCCTTACCTCCTTTTCCTTATCTGCTTTTTCATTCTGTGCAACAATTTCTTCTTCCATTTTTCAGTTCAGATTTGTACCCATCTGTATATAGAGAGATATGGTATAGCATGTCTTCCATTTTCTTTTAATTTTATATTGCTTTTAACACCTGAGACCTAATGAGATGGGGTTATCATTATATTTCAGATTATGTGTGTGTGTATATATATATATATGTATGTGTGTATTTCTAAATCTTTTTGCTTTTTCATGGTAAATATGCCTCTTGTTGTTGAGTCGCTCAGTCGTGTCCAACTCTCTTTGCGACCCCATGGACTGCAGCCCCTCCAGGCTCCTCTGTCTATGGGATTCTCAAGGCAAGAATACTGGGTTTTCCAGGCAAGAATACTGGAGTGGGTTGCCATTTCTTTTTCCAAAATATGCCTCTAGTTTAAAGCAAAAATTAATAGTTTATAAAATTTATTGCTAGCATTGTGAAAATGATAATTAGCAAAATATCAGCATATTTATTTTATTGGAATGCCAGGAACCATGCTGAATGCTTTAAACATATTATCTACTCACAGAATAGTCATGTGAGGTAAGTGTTGTAATTCCCATTTTATAAATGGGGAAACTTAAAATTCAGAGTTGTTCCATCAGTTCAGTTCAGTCACTCAGTCGTATCCGACTCTTTGCAACCTCATGGACTGCAGCACGCCAGGCCTCCCTGTCCATCACCAACTCCTAGAATTTACTCAGACTCATGTCCATTGAGTCGGTGATGCCATGCAATCATCTCATCCTCTGTTGTCCCCTTCTCCTCCCATCTTCACTCTTTCCCAACATCAGGGTCTTTTCCAATGAGTCAGTTCTTTGCATCAGATGGCCAAAGTATTGGAGTTTCAGCTTCAGCATCAGTCCTTCCAGTGAATATTCAGGACTGATTTCCTTTAGGATGGACTGGTTGACTGCAGCCATGAAATTAAAAGACATTTGCTCCTTGGAAGAAAAGTTTATGACCAGCTTAGATAGCATATTAAAAAGCAGAGACATTACTTTGCCAACAGAGGTCTGTCTAGTCAAAGCTATGGTTTTTCCAGTAGTCATGTATGAATGTGAGATTTAGACTATAAAGAAAGCTGAGTGCTGAAGAATTGATGCTTTTGAACTGTGGTTTTGGAGAAGACTCTTGAGAGTCCCTTGGACTGCAAGGAGAGATCCAACCAGTCCATTCTAAAGGAAATCAGTCCTGACTTTCACCAAATCCACAGTGACAGAACTCAGACTCTAGAAGCTGCATGCCACGACATTTTCACTGCCTCCCAGGAGTTGCACATTAGGGGAAAAACATCATCAACTCTTATAATAGTGGAAAAATTGTATAGTAGAAAGAAATGGGTTTGAGATTACACATAGGTATTTAGATCCCAGTTATACCATTTACTAGTGTATAACTTTGGATAAGATAATATTACTTAACTTAAATCTACAAAATGGGATTTGAAAAAAATATGTCTTTGTAGGATTAAAAAAGATTAGAAATTCTTCTCAACAGATATTGGTAAAAATAATAGCTACCATTTACTTATTGCTTACTGTATGCTGCTCTAAGCTCTTTGGACATACTGACTCATTTAAATGAGGATAACAGTCCACCGGGGCAAATCATATTATGGTTCCCAGTTTTAAATGATGTGACTGTGATACAGAGTCCAAAGTCAGAAAGCTACTAGGAGGACTAGCTCCAGAGCTTAACCTACTGGTTATATTCTGTCTTGTGACTTTTTTCTCTGTGTGTCTCTGTTTAATTTTGATATCTTGAGTTTCTTGTTTCTCTTTTGCCACTTCCTATTTCTGTTTTTTAGAAACATACTAGACCCTTTTTTCTATCATCAGTCTATTCAGAAATAAGAACTCAGGTCAGATATGACTTGAGTTCTGTGCCCAACTCTGTTAGATTGAATATTTGAAAATGATAGTAGAAGAAATAATGCCTGAGATTAGAGTTGACTCCAGATTAAGTACAATAAGTTAATTTTTTTGTTTGTTTTGTTTAATCTTAAGGGTCCCTCAATGCTCGAAGCAGTGCAGAAGATCGATCTCCAGAAAATACTGGGTCATCAGTAGCTGTAGATAACTTCCCAGAAGTAGACAAGGCCATGCTGATTGAGAGGATAGTAAGGCTGCAAAAGGCACATGCCCGGAAAAATGAGAAGATAGAATTTATGGAGGATCACATCAAACAGCTGGTGGAAGAAATTAGGAAAAAAACAAAGTATGTGTTTTTTTAATTTTTGTTTGTTTATGGCTGTGCTAGGTTTTCATTGTTGTATGCCAGCTCCCTCTAGTTGTGGTGAGACGTGGCTACTCTGGTTGTGGCACTTTGGCTTCTGATTGCGGATGCTTCTCTCATTGCAGACCACAGGCTCCAGGGCGCGCAGGCTTCAGTATTTGTGGCGCATGGGCTTAGTTGCCCCTTGGCACGTGAAATCCTCCCAGACCAGGGATTGAACCTAGGTCCTCTACAGTTGGCAGGAGGATTCTTAACCACTGAACCACCAGGGAAGTCCCAAAGTGTGTATTATTATGGTACTGGGATCCGTGTTCAAAATACCATTATTCATACAGCAAAAAGTTCCTGAGTTCAAATAATCATGTCAAGAGCCTTTCTTTCAAAATTTTTTTTTAAAACTATGATCATATAGTTCTCAATCTTTTATTGGTCACTTATTTTTGTTCTAGGTTTTGGGAATACAGAAATGAAGGAAAGCATAGATTTTTCCTTTTAAGGTGATATAGAGTTCAGTAGGTGTTAATTTTTTTGATACTGGAATAACTTTGAACTTAAAAATAGATTGTGCTCTGCTTAGCTTCTTATTTTCAAGATGGTGGTTCTAAGAGAGAATGGGGTTGTGGATTATTGTTCCTGTTGAGCAGATTTAGGGAAAAATTTGCCCATGACTTTCATTTTAAAAAAATTTTTTAAAGTTACCAAAGCCATTCTTCTTTTTTCCCCACACATTTATTTTTATTTATTTATGTTTGTCTGTGCTGGGTTTCTATTGCAGTGTGTTGGATCTAGTTTCCCTACCAAGGATTGAACCTGTGCCCCCTACATTGGGATCATTGAATCTTAGCCACTGGACCACCAGGGACATCCTTGCCCATGACTTTTAAAAGAAAAAGAGGACAACACAAGTTTAAAGTTTAGTGTGCAAGAAAATAGAAAATATTAACTGAAACTGGAACAATAAATTGTTCACATATTTTGATTTACATAAGGAAAAAAATAGAGCCATATTTATATATCTTAAATCTAAATACCATGTTATAACAAAAATGGGATCATTTGAGAAGCCATCTGAATAAGAAAAATTCCCTTATTTTCTAATACTTGCTAAGTTGCTTCAGTCATGTCTGACTCTTTGTGACCTATAGACTGTATGTAGCCTGGCAGACTCCTCTGTCCATAGGATTCTCTAGGCAAGAATACTGGAGTGGGTTGCCACGCCTTCCTCCAGAGGATCTTCCCAGCACAGGGATTGAACCTGAGTCTTTTATGTCTCATTGGCAGGCTGGTTCTTTACCACTAGTGCCGCCTGAGAAGCCCCTATGTTCTAATGTAGTTCTTTTTCTTTTGTCCCCTATGTTCTAATATAGTTCTGTTATTAACCTAATATGTAATTATTTTATGCATCATCTTTACACTTAGGATTAGTTCACTCTTGAAAAGTGCAGTATTTGTAAATTCTGCAGGAACGTAACTGTCATAGTGCTTTATTTTACAGAATAATTCAGAGTTACATTTTACGAGAAGAATCAGGCACACTTTCTTCAGAGGCATCTGATTTTAACAAAGTGCATTTAAGTAGGCGGGGTGGCATCATGGCATCTTTGTACACGTCCCATCCAGCCGATAGTGGATTAACATTGGAACTCTCTTTGGAGATCAACCGGAAACTACAGGCTGTTTTGGAGGATACATTGCTGAAAAATATTACTTTGAAGGTATTTGTATTTCTCATTCACTTACCAACCAAGAAACATGGCAGAAATGGTACCTCTCTTATTCAGTCTAACACATGGATGGACTATTGCTGTAATGAAGGGTAACCATTGTTTCCATCGATGAAATTTTATGTTTTTCTCTTTTTGAAAAATGTAATTTTTAAAATCAACAAGGAAAGAAAGAAATAGAAAAAAAAAAGTAGTGTAACTATTGGATAGACTCCCTAAATGAGTGGGTTTACTTTGCCATGGAAAGTCTTTGACATATATTACAATAGTTATAATTGATTACTGAGGCATTAAGATTGAGATATTTATTTTCTAATGTATTTTCCAGCTATATTTTATTTTTTGCAGCTGTTATCTGACCCAGCTATTCTGTTTGTGCTGTTTGGGCCTTAATGGTTAGTAATGGGTTTAAGAAATAATTTTTTTAATCTGATAATACTTTTATGCACTAAAATTTGCTATAGCTTCAGTGAAAAGATTTAAGTATGACTGAAGTATACAGGATTGCTACACTGAAAACATCCATGTGCAGAGTTTATCTCCCATGGCAGATATGACTGTTTATCACTCTTTAGTTCAAAATTTAGGGAAAAATAGTTCAAATCGAATCTTTTTACTTATTACACTTAGTAGTTCTGTTTTCTTTCCCCCCTTTTTCCAACTGCTAAAGGAAAATCTGCAAACACTTGGAACAGAAATAGAACGTCTGGTTAAACACCAGCATGAACTGGAACAGAGGACGAAGACAGCCTAACACAGAGCTCTTCCTCAGTGAACAGACGAAGCCACAGGGGGAGCAGGTGCCGCTGCCCAGGACTGGCGGAAACTTCTCCCTGCTTTGTGTGGCAGCTAGTACAAAGTTTGTTTTGCCTCATCTGTATAAAAAAGGACCTTTTTACAACACAAATGCATTGCTGTGTATACTGTAAGAATGTAAGCGCTGAGGAAACTTGTTCTTGTACAGTGACAGCCTGTCATTGAATCTGAACAACTGAATTTAATTTGCTGATAGTCATATGAAGTGCTGAACATTACAACAAGGGCTTTTGAAAACTTCTTCTTATTTCTTCCCTTTAAAATATATAATGTCAAAAACAAATGATTTCACTTTCCAAAATTATGCATGAAAGAACAGGTGTTAATCATTCAGTAATATGCTATTTCTCCAACATGAATAAAACTAAAGAAATGAGAAAAACTTTTGTTTTGACATTCTGATATAACATTTGCTTGTGTGTTAGGGACACCAATGAGTTCTTAAACCCTTTGATCTTCATGGAAGCTAATAGGAAAGCTAGCTCTTGGTAACTAGCAGTGATTGGGCACTGTATGCTTCTATCAGGCTTCCTTATTTATGCTAGGAACAATTTTTTCAGATTTGAGTTAATTGTTAAGTTTTTTAAAATCTCTAGTTACATAAACTATGATTTGAAATAATTTGCTCATTTAGAAAATTCCTGTGGACTTAAGTTGTATTTTAAAATGTGAAGTGCATTAGTCATTAGAACCAAGAGATGAATAATGAATTCTTTGAAACAGAAATACTTTAGTTTTACTGACATCAAGTATAAAGATAAATATAAAATACTTATGAAGAACCAGTTACCAAGAGAATCCAGCATAGGGCACTGTTAACCATTTTATCTGTGTACCATTCTTTACTGTTAGTTTAATTATGTTATAGTGGTGTGATCTTACAGTCCCTAAATATGCTGTGTTTCAGTATATTTATTTAAAACACAAAATAATTATATCTCTGTAACCAAAGGAGTTTTAGAGCCAAATTTATGTATCCTGTTGGATTCTTAAAATATTTATTGAAGATACGCATTCAAGTGTTGCTGGTCACAGTATCGGTGTTTCTGTCACTGAATTTTTTTCTTTGCTCTTGTAATTTCTCACTGTGATTTTCTACATTTCGTTATATTCAGATCATTTCTGTAATGATACCTTGGCACATACACAGATGTTGCAGCAAGCTTCATTTTTATTTTGGATTTTTGCATCCTTTTCCTCGCAAGAGAAGTAAGTATTGAGGTGATGGGTTAAAAGCCTTTAAAGAATTGTATGGCTTTACCAGTTGGGCTGGGCTTTTGATGGCAACGTCACCTTAATGTATTTTAATTTTTGTTTTTAATCAACTTAGCATTGTGTAAAAAGATCATTTACTAAAGGTTAGATGATTCATTGTAGCATCTTATTTTTTCTATATATTGAGTTAATAGGTTTCATCCAAAAACAAAATCTTTTCACTTCAAAATGGAAATATAAGTTCAGAAACACTTTATATTTAAAATAACTGTAAAAGTTTTGGTCTTACCATAATGTGTCTTGCTCTCCTTTACCAGTAATAATTTATTAAAATAAAGAAATGAGGGTAAGTGCAATCACATCTGAATTATTTTCCTAGTTGTTTTTGATAATAGTATTGATGCTCCCAAAGACTATTTAGTTAATGTAACTAAATTTTTACAGCTTCTTATGTGATATAGGTTCATACACTACAGTATTTGTTTTTTCCTTCCAAGACACAAAATATGTTAATGGAGACCAAATAGTGGTCATATCTACAGTATTCTTGTCTGTACACTTTTAAAATATATATGTACATACATGCACACATTTTTGCATACATATATTGCATATGAAAATGAAGCATTCCAATATTGACATTTGTGCCAGCATTCATTTAAAGATGTTTAATGGTTAAACAGTTTTAGAAGAATGCAATTATAAACCATATATTGACTTATTATTGCTCCCCCCATAAATGTAAGGAACTGTGGAAAATTTGAAGAAAATGATTTATTTTCCTTTTGTTCTTTAGTTTCTACTATATCCTTTTGTATATAGATCATGACTGAGCAAAAGTGTGTACAGCAATGTGCATTTATCAGATCTCTCTCTAGACTGACCCAGAGATCCTGATTAAGCATTTAGAGGGCAATATATGGAAAGAAGAATGGGGTGTCCAGAAGAGGAAAATGGTGTGGATAAATGATAAACTTGACTTCTGGGAGAAATTTTGGTTTGTCTGTTTATTATTAATTAAACACATCAAAGGCTGTTTTTGTTAGCACTATTTTGATTTCTTTGAGGAGGAAATTATTTTTGTGTGTATGTATACATACATATGCACTTTACTAGGTTTTAATTTTAAAGTGAATACTTACTTGTGACTGCCTTTTTCCCATACCATTTCAGACTTTAGCCTGTTAAGCTCTAAGGATTGAAAATGGTGGATTTGAACAGTAGAATGAGTTTAAACTTTGTTTTTTAAGCTTTCTATCCATAACCATTTAAAGCAATTTATCTTGAAATTAAATTTTGTCAGGCTACCAACAAATGTTATTTAAATAAACACATTTATTGAAAACCCCTTTATTGCCAGGCACCATATAGGGTGTCAACATTATACTGTAGACAGACTAGACAGGGCAATTCGTGTCCGCATGGAGCTTATGGTCTAGTGAAAACCGCTGGGAAGCAGTAGGAGCTGCTCTTTGAGTCTACAGCCCACAGCCAGCCCTTGTCAGTAGAAGGTTAATGCACTTGTGCAAGCGGGTGATCCAGAAGTCTCACTCGCATGAAGCTTTAGGAAACGAATCCTTGCTGAGGTACATTGAGAGCAGATTGTTGTTTTTGTGGTGGTTCTGCACATTTCCTAACTTTTTTTCACAGTTTGATGTTTAATTATTGTTTTAAGAAGGGGAAAAAAAATCCAAAGACCATAAAATGGCACTTAATTTTTGCCATTTTAGTAAATTATTAATGTCCACTTGATGCTCATAAAGATGAATCTAATCATGGTGTCATGTTTGTTTCTAAATTGTTTTGCAGTATATTATTTTCTAAAGATTTTTACATATAATTTCAGACCAGAATTTTCCAGTGGAAGGAAAAAAAGCACTAGAAACCATTAATACTGTAAATGTTGTATATGTTCCCCGATGAAAATATTTTTATGTTTATCAGTCATGTTATTCCATATGGTTAATTTGCCTTATGAATGCTGGATTCAGTGGTCTGTCTTCCAATAACCTTTTTAAAACAAAAGATTTCTTTTTTGACACTAAGATTGTTTATGTTTAATACCGGTTGGTGGCACTAGAAACCTGAAAATTTTCAAGATTGAACATGAGAAGATAATCAAAAGAGAATCCAAATAGAATTTTTCAGGAAAATAAGTGAAAAATATAATTGTATATTAAAGATGTATTTTTCTTCTGAAATGAAATTCTTTTTTAAAATGCATATGGCTGTCCATTTTGACTATGATGAAACTTGTTTATCTTCCAAAGTTCATATATATATATATGTGTGCATTGTACAGATAATCTTTAGTTTGATTACACTGTTCATTTTGTAAATATCTTTCTGTATAAAATGAAGCTTTTCAAGAGAATTTTATGTATATATTGTACTTATTAAATAGGAAATGCCTGTTTACCAAGTTGTATTTTACTGGCATCTTTGATTATTTACACATACCACTACTAACAGACTGATTCTCCAGACTTCACAAGACTGATTCAGATTGCTTGAATGTTCTTTTTTAAACCATATTAATAAGAATTTTTACTTTCTATTTTTGTCTTTATTCTACTAATTACAAGTCAGTGAACAATAGTAAACAAATTGAATGCCACGTTGTATTTTAAATTTTTGTCTAAATTATTGATTGCAAAATCTGGCCTTTTGTAAATGGCTGCCTATGTGAAAATTTCTCGTTGAACTTGACAAGCCAGTAATAAATTCAGATTTTCCACAAAACTATGGAACTTACTTGCCCAAATTACCTAGGTTTAATAATAAAGATCTAATAGGTTCAATAAAAAGATACTAAAATGGCATTAGCTTCATGCAGGTAACCTGTATGATGGATATTTCACATCGCAGTGTGTTGTTTTCCATTTCTCATATAACAGTTCAGGTACACACAGATTATGCCACATTTCTTAAAGAGTTCAGTATTGGAAGGAATCCCCTGAAATCAGGATCCTTAAAATAAAGGTACAATTAATAGGATTGAGGAAGCTCTGCTGACTGACTTAGTAATCTGTTTTCAGTGGCTTATACATTTGTTTGCAAGAGAAAGTATATAAAAAGAGTTGAGTTTTTGGAAGAGACTAGCTTATGGTTCTTAACTGGTCAGTGTGACCTGCAGTTATGAAAGACCCTTCCAATGAACTTAAATCCAAGCCTGCTTTTTTTTTTTAATGATTTCTTTTAAAACAATTTATACATATATAGTTGCAGTGAGCAGGGCCTCCTCTTGACTGCGGTGCGCGGCCTCGCGGTGGCGGCCTCTCGCTGCAGAGTGCCCGCTCTGGCAGTTGCGGTATGCTGGCTTAGCTCTGGTGCACGGGCTTAGTTGCTTCTCCGCCTGTGGCATCTTCCCAGACCGGGGATGGAACCTGTGTCCTCTGCGCTAGCAGGCGAATCCTTACCCACTGTGCCACCAGGGAAGTCCTGCTTTTTCTTACTAAAGTCTGCCTCAGTCAGTGAGTGTATGACGAGGGCACACTTCTTCCAGAGGACCAGCAACTTGGGAGGCTGCCTCTGGCTGACCAGGGCTAATGCTGAGAACAGTGTGACCAGACTGTCTCATGTCCCTGCCCTTGCAGAGATGCACTATTAATTCCTAAATTACAGTTAGGAGACTTGATTCTAATTTTTTAAAAAAAGCACCCACTTAAGTCATACTCTATTTCTGAGGGATTTTCAGCCTTTTAAATTGTTCAAAGGCCGTGC